TATGGAGCTTGCCTGTCATACACACTCCTGTGTTCCCAGTGTTGCAGGTCTCAGTGCACAGTTTAACCACAGAGACATTGAACTAAGCCTTCCCAAAGTGCCTGAGGTACCATGAAGTGTGCTTACGATTTCCCTTGCTCGGTTAGTTTTCTGTAACTCACCATAGGAAACTTTCTACTTGGTAGTCTTACCTTCAGAGGGCCACTAGCCATTTTCATTCAGGGCGATAATAGGATCTTGCAATTCACAGCTGTATCATGAGCCTATCCCTAAATCTTGTCCTCAGGTTTTGCCTTTGCCTGGAGCAGGGACTCAGGAAGTTCTCATGGAGTCACTGAGCTGATGGTGGCCTCAGAAGAGGCTGTGTCTCTTATGTCCACAGCCCAATGGACTCCTTCCAGTGCCCCAAGATTCTGGACCATTTTCTTCCATCAAGAAAACAAAACACTGCCCACAAAGGCGGTGAAGTAACTGTAGTGGGGTCCATAAAAGTGATCATGCCTATCTGTGCTATGCTATTAATGATCAATAATCCCCAAAGTACTTTCCTAACCAGAGAGTGACTCTACTGTGAGATCAGGTGTTGTGTAAAAAAGTCATTAACAGCAGCAGGTGCTAAGTGAGCATATCTTATGTAAATAATCTTAATAGCAATAATAAGAGAGATAATTGTTCACAGGTGTCACTTCCTGGGGGGAAAAATTCACCTTTTCTTGCAAGAGAAAATGCTAATAGTTTCATTAAATTTATGAGCCTTAATTAGCACACTGTTGTTCTAATTACTGTGCTAGCCCTGAAATCATGTTCCTTCACTCTTTTCCTCTTAAGCAGATTTGTACACAATCAGCCACTTCTTTATGGAGCTGCATGTCTTGGCAGAACCTGCACAATTATCTTCAACAATGGTGATAACTTTTCTAAAATCAATGCACCAGTCCCTCTTACTCCTTGTTCATGGTTAATTCTCCTTGCATGTTCATGCACATGTGAATACTCATACATACACACACACTTTTTTTCTTTGCAATGTAATACATACTTCAGGAAAAAGTTGGTTTCCTTACGAGCTGTTCTACTAATCCTCTAAATTATAAATTCTTTGTTTTCGTTTGTTTTGTTTTTAAGATATTTACTATGGGAAGAATAGTTAACATGAAATTACTGAAGGTCCTTTGTTCCTTTTGGTTTTTGAGACAGGGTCTTACTATATAGTTCAGTCTGGGCTTGAATTTTCTATAGAGCTCAGGCTGGTTTTGAACTTGCAACGATCCTTTTGCCTCAGCTTTCCAAGTGCTGGGATTACAGGTGTGCTAAGAGGTGGGGCTTTTAGAGCTGATTAGGTCACCAGGCTCTGCCCTCATGAATGATTTAACATCACTGTCATGGGAAAAGTTTACTTACAGAAGGACAAGTTTAGTCCCATTTCCCTTTCCCATGCCTTCTCTTTGCTCTTTGCCTGTATGAGCCCTTCTGTGATATTTTATGATGCAGGAAGAGGGCATCCTAAGATGCTGGCAACTTGATCTTGATGTTCCAGCCTCTAGAACTAAGAGGAAATACAATTTCTGGTCATGAGAAATTACCTAGTCTTGGGTGTGATTACTGTAGTATTAAATGGACTAAGACGAGTTTTTAGAGTCCTACAGGTCCATCTTTTTTTCTTTGTGGGACTTCAATTACAGGATAAATCAGAATGGTCTAGACAATGTTTCATGCTCTTTCCATTGTTTTTTTTCTTCATTTTAGTCTGGATATTTTTCTTTTAAACTATTGTCCAGTCTATTGATTTTCTCTTCAGCTATGTCTAATTTGCTCTTTAATTAACAATGACTACTTAATTTACTGTACTTTTCAGTTATATTATTTCCATTTTTTTATAGTTTTTCATTCTTTTACTTAAATTCTCCATCTTGTCATTTAATTTATTGAATATAATAGACATAGCCACCATATATGAAAATATGCTTTAAGACTTCATTATCTTCTATTTACTTATGATTTCCTTTCTATTTCAACTAGTTCAATATTTTTAAAAACTTATTCCTAGTTATTTTTGATTGAGTGCTACACAGTATACATAAAAATTGTCAAGATAATTTGAGGCCATGGGTAGGTAAAATGGTTGCTATAGTTCAGATCTGGACTATTCCCAAAGGCCCATTGGGAAAGCCTTGTTCCACTGGATCCTGTGGTCCTACTGGGAAGTGACAGGACCTGTAAGAGGTAAGGCCTAGTGAGAGGTCCTTAGGTCAGCAGAGATGTATCCTTCAAGGCATATTGGAACTCTGGCCCTTTTCCCTTCCTCTCTTTGCTTTTTGACTACCATGGGGGTGAACAGATGCTCCTGCCATGATGTTCTGGGCCAGCACGATCCAAATCAACAGCGCTCCACAAAGTCATGGACTCAAAACCTCTGAAATCATGAGCCAAAAAATATCTTTCCTCATAAAGTGATTATCTCAGATACTTTGCCACACTGACGGAAAACTAACACCATAGCATATTTGTATTTGTTTCTGTCTGGAACTGTGAACAACTGTCTCTAATTCCAGAATGAGTTGTAGATTTTCCAAGACCTCAACTGGATGGCTGGAAGAATCTTGAAGGTCTCAGGCCTGGCCTGGCCCTATGTCTCCTCAGCACTGCTGACTGCTCATATGTGTGTGTCTAGCTTTCTGCCACTTTCCAGCTGTTCTCTACTAAGCCATGCTCTGTAGGTGGGCCCAGCGGGAAACTCTCAGGTTTTCTTTATGCAGTTCCCTTTCTAGTGCCACCTCCTTCACCTCAACTTCAAATCCTGCTTCAGCAGCTGTGAACGCCAATCTATTTCCTCTTGTAAAACTTCCATATTCTGCTTCGCTTCCATTTTTCTATGACACACTTTGGGAAAAGACTCGCAGGGAGAGGAAATTGAGGGTGAAACTAGGACTGTTTGTGATCTTTTCTTCACTGACATTTTATAAGCCTGTTAGTTGTTACCTAATATTCAGTTATTCTTTTAAACTGTGGTAGAAAGAATTCTAAATCCCCATGATTGTGGCCATGAACATGCCCTATATAATGCCCTTCTTCAGTGTCGGTTATACCATACTATTGGTATAACAAATTGTGTTAAAATTGGACTAGCTTCCTAAAACAAACTTGGTTTCAATGGCTGAGAAAGTTTCATTAAATTTGGCCTCCCTCCCTCTCTTCCTGCACTGCCAGAGATCAAACAAGGCTTCCTCATGCTTGATATGTACTCCACCACTGATTTATGTCCACACCCAGCTCTTCTTCTGAAGGATTTTCACTGTGTACCTTTCTTGTCCAAATCTCCTCTGTGACTTTTCAACTCTTAGCCAGGTTGTTTTATCTACTCAAGTTTTTAATCTGACAATTTCTATTTTGTTTGGAAATTATCTATTTTTTTAAGGTTTTACATTTTTTTCACAGGATGGCATATGTTATTCTTATGTCATTAAACCATTCCTGATCTGGGATTATACCTCCTTTCATATTCCTAATATTTTATATTTTTGTGATTTTTTGTTAGGTTTACCAGATACTTATTTCATTTGTCTTTTAAAAAGGACTGGAGTTTTTATTTATCTTTTCTATGGTTTCTGATTGATTTCAGATTTTATCTTTTAAATCTTCTTAGTTTCCTGGTTTATTTAATTGGTTCTAGTTTCCCTCTTTTCATTATAAAAAAAGTCCAAAGTAGTTTGAACTATGCCATTCATGGCGAATCTTATTTCATCTAGATGCCTCGCAGAATTATTTTGATGCAAATCCTGGTTATGCAACTTTGCCTTATAAATATTTCAGTATATATTTTTAAAAGGACTTAAAAATAAAATGTGCTGGGCACAGTGATACACACCGATAATCCCAGAACTTGGAAGCTGAGGCAGGAAGATTGCCATGAGTCTGAGGCCAGCCTGGGCTACAAAGTGGATTCAAGGGCCAACATGAACTACCAAATGATGCTTTGTTACAAAAAGCCAAAAACTGTACATATCATACCTGAAAAATATAAACATAATTCGTTAATATCAGTGTTTGGGTGGTTCTATTAGTGTTAAGTCGGGACAAGGGCAGAGTCCCCTTAAGACTGCCATCTTTCCAGGATCCCCACCCGCTCGCTGCGAGGATGGTTTCCTAACTCTGGCTCTCATCTGTAAGAAAAAATACATTCTGTATTGTGCCCAATACATTAATACCTACATGCATAACTGAAACAAATACTGCCCTGAACAGCGCATTTACCACATGGACTCATCTTACCTGCTGCCTTTCTTTTAAATGTTGGCTGCAACCCACTAAATTGATTTCCCATTACACTGTTAGTTATATTATCTGCATTTTGAAAACCCTATAAAGCAAGCTTATAAATATTAGATTAACTGAAAAGCTCATGAGATGAGTTTTAGATACCTCTTCTGAAGGAAGGGGGAGAGAAAAATCCTTTTATCCACTAAGTGACTGATGCTTCAAGCCAAACCATTACAATTCAGGCCATTCATAGCTGCACTTAACTGTATTATTTATGATTCTCCCTGCATTAGAACCCACCTGTCCATACATGTATTTGAGATCCCACTGCCGGTTTTTTCTATTTATCTTTCTGATCATTTCTGCCTGAAATTTCAACTTCTACTTTGAACACCGAACATTCAAATGAAATCAGTCATTTATCAGTCAACTGAAGTCACTGTAGTTATCAAACAAAAAGTCACATGAAGAAATGAACTTCAACATTATAAATGTAAGGAAGACCTCACCACGCCCCTCTGTAGTGACTGACCCTATTTTGGACATCTTTACTGCATTTCAACAAGAGGTTCCTTCCAGAATTCAGAAGGCTGAGGGAGGAGGATCACTGTGACTTCAAGGCCAGCCTGCGCTACACAGTGAGTTCCAGGACAGATCCGACTTCCTGGTCAGACCTTGGCTGAGCTCCTCCTCTCCAGTAAAGTAGGTCCTTGGTTTTGACCTTCAAAGAAATGAGACACTCATTTTGTGTAATCTAAAAGAGCTTTATTTAGTATATAATCTCCATACAATTCAGTACAACAAATTATAAAAGCTCTTTGTAAGATTTACTCATTGGATTTTAAAAACAGAATCTCAACAGCCACAAGAAAGTGAGCTACTCTCATCTTAAAAGCTTTTTTCCCATGAACAATCACTCTGTCCTAGGCTAAAAGGTTGTCATGTATAAAATATCTGGGAGCGTGTTAACCAAGATACGTGAGCTGAGAAAATTTTGGTATCTTCCTATTAATGTGAAGGGCTGAGTTAAATTTTTTAAATTAAATATTTCTATGTGAAATATTGGGTGAATTTTGGTCAAGGATGAATCAAAGTTTTGACATCATAGTAAAAATTAATATGGAGTCAGTATACTCATTTTAGTTAATTGTGAAATAAAGATGCAGACCAGATGAGACATCTATATATGTCCTTGTCACCAGCAGCACCTACCCAACACGCACACACTCTAAACCTAACTGGACTCACACAGGTCAGGGAAATCATCTTTAAGAGACAGCAAATGACCTAGATCACCCCTTATGGACTAACCTCCGAACCTCCTAACTAATACATCTGAAATGAACTGCTGTTCTATAAAGGCCTGCAAGAAAAGTGATAGGGACCTTTCAACTTGGGTAGAATTTCTACTAGCAAACTGTTAATTATTACTAGTAGTTGGTCATTTAATTATTAAGTAGGATAAATAGGGAAGCGTAACATATGGGTATTTTTTTCCTGGTCCTCCACATGGGACCCCTCACATGTGAGGCGCGTGCTCTGCCACTGAGCTGTATCTCTAGTCCTACATTTCCTAATATTTTGCAGTGAAGTCAGCGACTTTCCTCTTTGTAACAATACAGTGACTGTGGTTCTACTCCTTGCATAAATCACACCAACAATGCAATTTGGGTACATTTTAATACCTTCTTATTGGTTTAGGCATTTTAAAGGCAGAATGAATACCTAGACAAATTTTCTTGATTTTTATGTTTTCCCCAATATTTAAAAACCTTCTTTAAACCTGATGGATCAAAAAGTAGTTTTATTAGCAATTCAGCATTCATCAAATCTTACCAAAACATTCCATTTAATTTTTGTAGACACAATTCTTTCTTTTTACACCCAAGTCTCCTAGGTTTATACACAGCTGACTGAGTTGTGCACTCACAATACGAATTCCCAGGGAGAGCCCCAAGAGCAGCATCCAGTGGAGGTGGGGTGCAAGGGCACCAGGAATACACCCTCTTGTCTGCTGTGTCGGGCTGGGGAGCAGCCCACAGGAGGGATGGGGACTTCAGTGCTCTGGGGAATCACAAGTGGAGCCAATTATAAGCACTCCTACTGTATTTAGGAGGTCTTTTCGACTGTGAAGCCAGAAGCCAAGTCAGAGGGTGTTTCTGTCCAGAAAGTGAGAGCCATAATTTGAGGTTGTCACCAAACATGGAACAGCCCCCAAGGCTTGTGTGCTGGGGAGTTCAGGCCACAGGGCTCTTGCTTCAGCTTGCAGAGAGGCTAAAGCTACAGCCAGACCAGATGCTCTCCCTGTTTCCTCCTGTGTGAGTCAACAACAAGGTCATAAATGAGAAATCTGACAGGTTCTAAAAATAGCTAACATGATTTGTTGGGAAACTGGATCATCAGGAAATAAAAACTTCTACTGTGCATGGTCACAGTGTCTTGGAAAGAGTGTATACATGGATTCTGTCTTGCAATATTTTTTTTTTTGGCACTTTATATTTTTCACTAAAGACTGAACACTAAATGTTTTGGCAACAGTGTTACTATGAAAAAACTCAGTGGATGCCATCAACGTGGTGGAGATGAGCATACAAACTTAAGTACGTTTTCCTTGTATAGTGATTCCAAATACTTAAGACAAATACACACAGGAATATTTAAAATAAACTTAAATAGGCCTGAAAGAGTAACAGAGGTTGTAAAAAATCACATAGTGTCAACATACTGTACCTTACATGTGCTTGGTTTCAGTTAGAGTAAGGCACCGCCAAGGGGTGTACTGACCCATGCTGTCAGCTACAACAGGCATGCATCACTACTGGCTTAATTAAACTTTCAGTACTGATTAAAATGTTTTATTATTGTATTACCCTAAACTGCCGTGGTCTCCAACCTTATTAACAAATGTAGGAAAGATATAATTCAGGAGTTTCAGTTGCATAATTTAATAACCCAGCTACTGCCAATTTTTTATTTAAATAAGTTTTGATAAAAACCAAGTACCCTTGTGTCCAACAAGACAGTGTAAAAATGTTTTTGAACACTCTTAATAAGTAGTAGCTGAATACGAAATCATGTGGACGTGTGATGCTATCCATCTTGATGCCGATGGCAATTTACTTCACTGCAACTGCAAGGAGAAACATGTAAATCATTTCCAGCTGCCAAGAACAGGGGAGAAAGTTAATTTCATTAGCCAGCTTGATCTAATTAAATAGACGATATGCTTTTATCAGCAACTTTTACATGTCTAATCATTAGAAATGAATTATAAAAGCAATTATCAAAAATTTTGAGCAGGTTTGTATAATCTTCTTCATTCTTACAAATAACATAACTTGGAGGCACTTGGTTACCCTTTAGCGAGGAAAAGAATAACGTTACCAGGGCCCTCAGCATAAGATTGGAGACCACGAGTCAAACTTGGTAGGCGAAGGCTGTCTGCCAAAAATACTGCGTTAGTCAACTAGTCAAGACACAATGTTTAAAAAATTTTCAGAATTTGCAAGGTTCTAGGCTGTAAAAAATACAAAGGCTAAAAACACAAAAAGTTTACAAAATTTTGCAAACCCAGTAAATTGAAATGAGTAAGAAATGAAGCAAACTATTTTACTTGCCGGAGAGATTAGAGTATCAATAGTTTTTTTTTGTTTGTTTGTTTTTCCTTTTGTTTTAAATAAGACTAAAAAGTTAAGAAATTCTACTCTCCTAAATAGACTTCTGAGGACTGAACCACATAGAACTTGTGACACTTCTTCCTTGCCCAGTATTAAAACACTGTCCATGTGTGACATAGATTACTGAATATATGACATTTTAGGGTACAACGTGATGTGTAAGATACATAAAAGACTTAACTTGATTTTTTTGTTGTTGTTCATGTTAAAATCAGAAAAATTAGAAAACATTATAAAATTGTAAAGATGAAAAAGGACAACAAACAGCTTTTTAAAAAGCCACCAACTGATCTTCCCTAGTGAAATAATATTAAATAATTTAATTATGCATCCTTTCCTTTCCATTCAGTCAGCGGTGTCCTGTAAAAATGAAAAGTATTTCTGATTCTGATCAGGCTGGCTGTCTCAGCATGGCATGGTGCTGTCCAGGCTACCTGGAGCACACACCCTTCTACCCAAGAGCCAAATTCCAGATGAGTCTTAGGCAGTTGTGAACATTTCGTCTAATGAATATTACAATATGTGAAAGATCAAGACAAAAAAAGACTTCAGCTGTTGAAGACGGTGACACTTGTGTTAACAGGTGCAGGATGTCTGCATGTCACAGCTTTTGGGTACCACTGACCCATTCACCCTGGAACCATCAGCTACCGACTCCCCTTACGATGTAGTTTCACAGTGTCCAAAACGGAGAAGGGCCAGAACATCCACTACTTGTTCCTGGACAGCTTGTAGACGTGAAAGGTCTTGTTCTGAAACACCCTGGTAAAGTGTGCCATGTAGGGAGGGAGGTTTCTTTTGATCTCTTCACAGAATCGAGGGTGGTCTGCAGGCTTCAAGTCAGGGTCATTCTCTCCTGGGCCATCCATCATCTAAACCCAACACAAACCCACGTTCAATGTGGGGGTAAAACGTACTTGTAAGAGACACAAAAGTACAGCAGATAATGAGTATTTTAAAATACAGTAAAAGACACATTGCCAAGAATGGTAAGCGTGTTCGAAGAGAAGGGGAGTATTTTGAAAGGGACTCATGGTAATATATCTTTTACTATAATATTTTCTTTTTAATGTAAACATTCACTGTAGTTTTTTCTCAATCAACCAATTGTGATAATTTCTGTCAAATAAAAACCTTTCAAAAAATAAAAACAAAACCTTTACAATGTGTCCTCATCCACCTTATCTACCCGATCTGGCACCATACGACCTCTGGCTCTTCCCTAAAGTGAAACTGACCATGAAAACTGTCCACGGTGAGTGGATACGGACACCAGGCAACCAAAACAGAAAGACATGCTCACAAAAGAGGGCTTCCAGAACTCTTTCAGAGGCGGGGAAGACGATGGGCTAATCGGGTCTGAAGCAAGGGGAGAGCACCTTGAGAGGGACTGATGGCCATGCACCTTTTTCTGAAATGCATTTAAAGAGAACCAGTATTCATCATGGTTTTGATCACTCCTGTCAGGTACTGGGTTTCCTCAAGCACGTGTTAGTGAAACTAACTAGAGGTCAGTTGGTGTATTGTTCTTCCTCTTTAGAAGTGCAGACCAAGGCTGAGAAGGAGGGCTGAGCATCGCACAATGGTCACCATTAACGGCAAAGTCAGAACTAGAACTCAGATCCCCTTGTTCTCAGAAATGTATACATACTATCCCTCTCACAACAATGAAATACACAGAACTGCTCTGACTAGAGAAAGTTTTCCAACTCATCAGATGCACAAGTGAGAAAAAGTCATGTGCAAACAAAATGTAAATGTATGTCATTAGTCTCTACTGTCTCCGAATTGAGAAAGTTACTATTATTTTCCTTTGGGCAAAAATTTGAATTTCAAATCACTAATTTGTTTTCAGATTAGGTTAGGCTTGTTATTTCACCTCATCCATTTACATATAACCCTCAGCTTTTTTTTTTTTTTTAAAACTTTTTATCGGTACCAGGGATCGAACTCACGATCGCCTGCTTACAAGGCAGGTGCTTATGCCACTGAGCTAAATCCCCAGCCCCCTAACCCTTAGCTTTTATATCCACTGTCCACCCTGGTTCTAAAGGTGGAGATTCCTATTTGAGACCCAGCACAACTTCAGAAACTTTTCCCTGGAAGGAGAAAGAGACATACAACTTGTTTTTCTGCTCTGGAGTGCAAGCTTAGCCACAGAAGGCTATCTCTGTGGCTGTGCACAGAGCGCCTGAGAGGCAGAGGGAGAAGGAATAGCAAGAGCAGACCCTGCTCTTGGGAGAGGGGGTGACCTGCTGCTGGCAGTAGCCCATGGATGAGCTGACAGGAGGCTTGGAGCAGTGCTGGAAGAGGTTAAAACTTTGTTTCTTGTTTAAATGTTATGCAGGGCCTTATTATGTCAACCAATCAAAGACAGAGCTGCTGTGTGACAACAGACCTGGGGACCCTCGGGTCCTCTTACCCCTTACTTGCCCCTGTGGCAGTTACTAAAGTGCTATGGGAGAGATTCTACAGAACAGAAGGGACAGAAGACTTGAATACAATACCATTCTAATAGGTGCTGCCTACCTATAATCCCAGTACTCTGGGAGGCTGAGGCAGGAGGATTCTAATTCAAGCCCTACCTGTGATTTAGGGAGACTCTTTCTCAAAGCTAAAAAAGGGCTGGAGATGTAGCTCAGTACCAAGGCCCTGGGTTCAACCCTCAGTACTCTAAATAAATGGACATATAGTTTAAGAAGTATGCATGTACACACACACACACACACACACACACACACACACACACACACGGAATAAAGACTTCAGGATTCAAACTGACTGAAATCCCATTCTCTCTTGCAGAGTCCTGTTGCGTAATGCGACATGCTCACATGTCCATTGGCGATGTCCAGCAGGTCCCGAAGCCGGCAGCCCCGGCGGTGCCTACGCTCGTAGCAGATGCTGTCTTCCAGGATCACGTAGTCAGTGCCAAAGGACTTCAGGAGGGCATGCACTTCCTCTGGGGACCTCTTTGCATATATCTGATAAATCTTCAGAATGCAATCAAAACAGAATAGGCAAAATACCTCTCAGCCGCTTCTGAGTTCACTGAGTGTGCTATAACCTCCCATGAAGGGGACTCTGAGACTGAAATACATAGGTCTCCCCACTCCTGCCAAGGCCACTGCTGTAATCATATTCTTTAGTCCTGTGGTGTGCAGGGGGAAATTTCCAAAATAGTATAATTATCTAGCTGTGAGATGTGTTGGATGCATTTGGATTCAGACACCAAATACACTTGGATTGGGAATGTATTCTTTGCATTTAGGAATATATTCATCAGTAGATGTCAACTCTAAGAACACTGCAACAAAGTAAATAACACTGCTAAGGAAATAAGACAACAAAGGGGACCCAAAACAAGAATAGTCCAGTGCGGGTGATGGTACAGTTTGGGGCACACTGGCTGGTAAGGGAGAGATCCGGCTGCTGACAGTAGCACTGTTGGGGGGCCCTGGTCCTCAACAGGGAGTGCACTTGTTGTCCTGTGGCCACTACACTGCATATGATTTGCTCAGAAGAGCCTGGCATCCATTGCCACTTCTCATCCTTCTCGGAGCACAAGGGAGCTGGGCTGGCCCCAGTCCCTGCCAGGTGCCCAGGTGAATACATGGACCGAGGGTCCTGTGTCCTGGGACCTGGCACTGGGGAAGGCTGTGTGGAGTGTGGGGAGTGGGTTAAGAGAAGAAGCACTTCCTGTGCTGCCCTGATTCCCAGGATAGATCCGTGACTCTGGGACAGAGTGGGAGGCCCTCGTCAGTACTGCTCACATTCCTGGGTGAAAAGGGAGAGAGGTGAGCTGCTTCCGCTGTGAGTGCTGAGAGGCTGGCAGAGGGCCTGACAAAGGCCTTCCAGAAGTCGAAGTTCACAACTGAAGACCAACATGCAGATCTTCACGATGCCTGTTTCAGGGAACAACACTAGGTGCCTCCTGAAGCGGGTGGTGCCCAAAAGGACATGGCTTTCTGCAGTTCTCCTGCCTAACCAACATCTCCTCCCAAACCGGCCACCTTTCTACTGAACCTGGAGCTGTTTGGGACACTTGGGCCAACTGAGAAACTCCAATTTTAGCCGAAAAAATTGAGATGATTTCCATTAAAAAAATAGGGTACTCAGGAAAAATCATTAAAGTCTGACACCTTGTTGGTGAGGACTGAGGGTAACAGATGTGTTCCTGCATTGAAGACTGGAATGTAAGATGCCGTTGCACAGAGGGTGGGGGCTACAGCCACACTTTGTGTCCCAGACAGCTGAGATCTGATGGACACAGATATCACTGCATTTATAAAGATGCATACACAGGTTCATTGTTTGGAGCACTGTATGTATAGTTGCAAAAGACAGAGGCTGCCTATGTGGTTAAATAAAATATGCTTTATCCACATAAAATACATATAATTTACAATTAACAAGGAAGCGAGAATAATATACTGAGACACAATGATTCCTAAAATATATTATCAAAAAAGCAAAGTATATTGTTATTTCTTTATTTAAAAAAAGGCAGAAAAGAATATAAATATACATGTGTGTATTTGTTTGTAGAAGCATAAAATACCAGATGAAAGATAAAGAAGAAACTGCTAACACTGCTTACTTCCTGGGACACAGGGATGGGAGAGACTTTTCACTGCACTTCCTTTCATATGTTATGACTGTTGAAGTACGTGACTATATTACCTATTTTAAAAAAACAGTAACAGCAACTGGGTATGGCAGCAAATGCCTGTAATATCAGTAGCTTGGGAGGCTGAGGCAGGAAAATTACAAATTCAAGCTCAGCCTGAACAACTTAGTGAGATCTTGTCTGAAAAAAAAAAAAAAAAGCAGCTCAATATTAAGGCGTTGAGTTCAGTGCTCAATACCACAAAATCAAAATATAAAAACTTTCCAAACTGAGCAACAAAACTCCCACAACCGAGAAATGGCCCATGAAATGATACATAGAAATGTTACCATTTCTCATCCTGTGTTTCCCTTTCTAACTCAAAAGCTCGGAGGGCTTTGTCTGAAATACTCTTTAGTACACTCCAGGTGTGGATTTTCTTGGTTATCCCTCCAAGAAGAGGCTGCTGCCTAAACAGCTTTTAAGCGAGGGGGCAGGCTGCTATCCACTGAGAGGCACGTTTCATGCCTGTCCCTACCCCACACACTGGAGGAGCAGCCTGACACCCATCTCTCTCCATGCAAGGAAGCTGAGCTGTTGGCTGGCTTAGGAGAAGCATGAAAAAACAGAGCTGGGCCTCACCGCTTTGGTTCGCTCCCTCAGGCTGCTGTCTTCGTAGTGCGGGTGGTTGGTTAAGGTCCTTCCTGTGCACAGCTTGACTCCAGCCAGTAACTGCATGCTTCCAGCAAACACTGCCTTTCTTGGGGTGTTAGAGCTAAAAGATGTTAAGAGTCTGAATCAAGCCCATTGCTAAGATATTCTCAAAGACATTCAAGAAGACATCATCACACCTTCAGATTCACCCAACTATGTTAGAAGTGTTAAGAGACAGGAATTAAGCACAAAGCAAAACCAAACCAGACCAGATCAGACCAGACCAAATCAAACCCCAAGGTAAGGCAGTGATGGCAAAACCTTTTAGAGGTGGAACGCCCAGACTGTTGTAGATGTCATCACCTGGCACTGCTACTCCTTTTGATCATGTGCATAATCCCTACGCTGTCTGATGCTGGGCTGCTGCAGACCAAGCTGTCGTGACTTGGCTTGCTCACCCAGTGAGAGGGTCTGGGTATGGCTGCGGCACGAGTGCCATCGGTCTGCCACCACTGGGTTAAGGTTTGTGCTCGATCTATTTTATGTATATTTTTCATATCTCTTTTTGTTGACTAGAACAATGTTTGGGAAGCTTCTAGCTCTTAGAGTGGAGGAGTTTACTTTTAAGATGAACTATCTTAGGAAACTGGTAGATAGCTCTTGAGTCTATAGTTTCTAGGCTAAAATTCAGGATTTTCTCTTTCTACTGTTTCAGAGAAGCAAAATTCTAACAAAAAGAACTCAGAAGATTGCCACTGCTTTTAGTACTAAACTTCACTGAAGGGGGCTGGCTAGATAAAAGTAACAAAATACAAAGTCAGGAAATACAGGTGATTGTGAATTATTTCCAAGGATTTTTATTTAAAACAAAGGAAAAAAAATCTCAGATATTACTATAAATTAAGTAAAAAACTTAATAAAAACAGAACATGGGGAGAAGATTCTGAAAAAAGTATCTCATTAGTCAATATGGGGATGTGTGTTATTTCTGGCATGGAAATATTCCTTCTCCTTGGTCTTGATCAGGGAAAAGCGTTTGTAGCTTTAGGGATACAGGACACCCCACCAGTAATCACATCTTACTTTCCAATTACTGCCCATCTATGATTTTCTGCCTCCTAGGGGCTCTGGGGGACAATGATGGAGGAGAAGAATAGATTCAAAGAACTCAATGCCCACCAGCAAAAAGGAATCTTAGTAGTTAATTTAATTTCTTTCTGTTTTCTGGAACCTGGGAGGTGCAAACCAATGAGGTGTTATTTTACCATGGAGAAAACAATAGCTCTTCTAGGTATAGTATTCTCCCTAGTGCAGAATTTCCACACAGGCCCATTAGGAGCATTGCATAGTAGGCTTACCCTTCCTTTGCTAAGAAAGAGGCATCTATGCTGCACTGACTAAAATGATGGAGACAGTTTTGAGGAATCTATTTGAAATCATCCTCTGCAGAAAAAACTATAGCAGGCATAATGTTTTTGGAGAGCATGGCATGAAGCTTCTGATGCTGAGGTTTTTAAGAGAAGCTTCATCACATTCATATGTCCCAGTAGGATGTGCTATTTATTCCAACCCAATGCCAAGACTACAGCATGAATGCCATCCAACAGCGGCCTTCAGATGTCTGTGAGCGAGACGTCCCACTATTCAAATGATGACATTTACAAATAATTTGCTTTTGAAAAATTCAAGACTTTCTAACGATGACACTCATTCACTTGCATTCCAATAAGCCTTCTTAAGTGAGGGGAAAAAAGTGGATGGAATTACAATGAGCACGAAAGGAATGACACATAATCTGCATCCTTCCACATCCATGCCAGCGTTGAGAATGTGGATTCCAACAGAAAGAAGCTTCAAGAGAGCTTGGCTGTCCTTGATGAGCTGTTACCATTCTGACAACCAGACTGAGGAACACAAGATCAGACAGATGCTTGCCCTGTCACCGTATAGGCATAATGGGGGATATTTGACATTTGTCTCATGTGGTCAGAGGAACAGAATGGTTGAACATGTTCACAAAGGGGATGTAATTCATGTCATGGTGCTTGCTAGCTTGAACAACCGGCGGTACATGCTGCCTGATGGGACAGTAATGCACTACCACCAGTTCAGTATATACTCATTTTGGGCCTTGTATACAATGTTACTCTCATTTAGAGTATATCACGGTAATTCCTAAAGAGAATATGAACAAATAAGAATTGAAGAAAGTGCCATTGTTTTTTCAAGCCTTTTCTTTCTTTCTGTGTTTCTTTGTTTCTTTCTTGTATACTCTTAAATGGTATAAGCCACTCCACTGGAATAAATCACACAATAACACCACATGCTAATGCCAAAAAGGGGCTATCCTAGAACAGACAAATTCTTAATGCAGGAGAAAGGAGCCTGGTTTCCACATCTGGCAGAGCATGAGGTAGATGCAAACGATCCTGGCTGGAATAGACTTGCTACCTAAACACACCTAACTGCCCTTTCTATTCAAAAGACAGGTCTAGCTGCTGAATGTCCAACATCAGTCAAATCACTGTGCCTGTCTTAACATCACCATTTTAATAAAAAAAAAATGTGACAAGAATAGGCACAAAGAAGATGCAAAGAGCTGTTCACAGTGTGCATTTTATAATTACAGCAGAGACAGAGATGGACCTTGTTGTCTATTTATAGCTAATGATCAAGGTTTTAACCTGCTTCCCAGACTGTAACAGTAATACTCTGATGAATTACAGAGTGCATGAAGGTTTAAATGTCAAAAAGTCTTAGACTGCTTATGTGTGTGTGTGTGTGGGTGGTGGTGGGGGTTACAAAGTTATTCTTTATTTATTCAAAATGTATCACTGAGAGGTAACAGCTCAATTGATAACCATGGTATGATAACCTGTTTTTGACAAGCTTATTGGTCATTTCAGCCAGGCTCAGCTTTATTACAGACAAACACTTTCTAAATGCTTGTTGCTCAGGATGCCCTAAATGCACCTGCCCTGACCCTCTGCGTCCCAGGTAGCCGCAAGCTATCAGCAGATCAGAAAGAAGCCATTTCACATGGCTGCTTAGAGAAATTGAGAAAAATGGAATACAACTCATTATATTGCATCATGTCTTCACATTTGGTCTTATTAGCAAAAAGTTAGAAAGTTTAAAAGAAATGCAATCATTTGAACTGTGAGTGTAAGTCTCTAGGATGTTAACATACTCCTTTATTAGGAGCCTTGATTTTCTTTTAATGTTGTAAAATAAGGTAATCCAATGGCTAGAAAATGAATTAGAAAAAATACTTCTTTGAAAACTATTGACTTTCAAGGCTAGAAGGGTTGACACTTACTTAATTATGTTGACTAGGTTTTAAATGCTGGGCCCATGGCAAACCTGGGATATTTCATTGGCACTTTAAATATTTAATTTTATCAATAAGGCAATGGTAAAAGTCAAAGCAACAAGGAAAGAGGAACACAGAAAAAATCATTTGTATTTTAAACCTAATTGTATATTCATTGTATATTTTTTTGTGGTAGAATTTTCAGGCAAAGGGAAAAGAGATTCTTTGTCCATAACTTAAAATATGCACAATGAGAGATCTTATACAGAGCACTTTTCTTTCACAGACACTTGTGCCTGATGCAGTCTATGGTCTGTCTCTAAAACAGCTAATGTGTTTCTAACTATTGAATGACACTTCTCTATTATAGAAAAACAAGGCAATTTTAACAAATGTTTGGACAAATGATGTATAAAATGAAATGATAATTTGTTCTTATAGCTCTCTGCCAACTCCATAGCAGGCTGCCCAGCCTGCAAATGATTTATTCTGTAAGGAATGTCATTAAATAATGACAAGGACTTACAGGGCAAATGGATTTACATTATATAATTTAAATGTCATTCTAGGAAGACCTGATGGCATTTTGAACAAATAACTTCATTTATTTTTGAAGTTCTAAGCTTCAACAAGTTAATTACTGTTGAACTAATGGGTAAACTGAGCATTATAATATAATGTGTGAACATTTGCTTTATCTACACTAGAAAAATTTATAGAATTATGCAAATACCAAAAATGATTCATTAAACATAAAAGAGGTTTATAGGCACTTAAGGTCTGAACTTAGCTTAAATCATCTTTAGGATATACAGCAATTCTTTATACTTTGACTAAGTGCAAAAAGAAATTTGGTACATTTCTTCAGTTCCACTGAGAAAATGCTGCACATGCATTACTGGAAAGTGATGATTTCTAGTGAAAATCTCCAAAAGCCAAGTAATTAAAATGCCGTACTTCAAAATATTCAGATCTACAGATCTGTGTATCTTAATTACACAATGTCAAAGAAAAATTTCAAGAACAGAGAGAGAGAGAGACAGAGAGAGAGGGAGAGGGAGACTGAGACTGACTGAATGACTCAAGGACACCGAGGAACAAGGCATAAGCAAGACTGCTGGGCAGTCAGCCCTGCTGCAGTAAATGCCTTGCTAACTGCACAAAAAGCCCGCATGTAAAACTCTCACCTGCTTTGTACTTAAAGAGATACCAGAAGGTAACAAGACACAGGCTTTTAATCTTTGCACCTAGGAAATATCACCAAGGAGGGCAAACGTGAACATAAGTGTTCTCCGTCTGCTTGGAGAGGAGGCAGGCAGCACTGGCACAGGTGGAGGCAGGCAGTCAGGAGAGCAGGGCAGGGCCTGCAGGAATGGTAGCTGGGGCTGTCATGTCCAGGACCTGACTTCTACAGAATGTCCTCGCAGATCAAAATGCCTTTAATTAAAATGTCCAAAATGTCCTTGAAAAGGAGGGATTGAGAGAGAGAGACAGAGAGAGAGAGAGAGAGAGAGAGAGAGAGAGAGAGAGGTTTAATTCCTAAATATTCTTGGTTTTATATTTAAACTTAAATCTCTGCTCCTTTAAGGGAACTAAAGATAGGAAAGACTAAAGCAACATTTTTCTGTGACTAAAAATTAAGATTCTAAAATCATTCCCCACTAACCCTGCTGAGCCTCCAAAAATTGTAACATGGAGCAGAGAAAGAATATGGGTAAAAAGAACAGCGCTTTATGCCCATGAAGAGGCCGTTCTAATGGGTCACCAAGCAAACTGACATGTTTCCCACAGTGTCTTATAGATTCATATTCACAACTGGTGCCCAGTAAATATCTGTCAAATTGTGTTAACAAGTGTGCAACTTTAGATGTGAAAAAAAAAAACTTATAATTGAAGGTTTTCAATGTTTTCAAAGAGATCCAGGCCCAATGGCATGGCCTGTCTCATGTCATCCTGAAGTAACAACCTTTACTTTTTCTTTACTTTTACTAAAAGGCCCTCCAAAAACGAAGGAAAAAACTGGGCATGGTGATGCACATCTGTGATCCCAAAACTCTAGGTGGCTAGAAGTTTGATTTCAACCTTTGGTAACTCAGCAACATCCAGTTTCAAAATGTAAAAAGGCCTGCGGATGTAGCTCAGCATGAAGGTCCTGGGTTTAATCCCCATGGCTAAGAGACAGTGAAAGACCGAGAGAGAGAGAGAGAGAGAGAGAGAGAGAGAGAGAGAGAGAGAGAGAGAGAGAGAGAGAGAGAGAACTCCTGCTGAGACAACGGCAGCTTTCACTTTACCCACAGCAGAGAGCCCCAAGCAAACACTTGGGAAGTCCAAGTTCAAAGAGGAGCTCAATGACATTAAAGCACAACTATGAGGCTGGTATGGTCCATCCTGAGCGGATACTGAGAAATGACAATAGGCCGCCACTGGACACTTCACAAAGGAGACAACCTGTGTTGTCTGAAACTTTGGCAAGTCATCCTGAGGAAAGCCATCCTGCAAAGGTGACCATTCCTAGTTACACCATCCTGGCTGCATAACAAAGGACAGACATGTGAGTGTGGCCACTTTCAGGACAGAACAGACAGGCTGATGTGGCCTGAGATGTCTCTCACACAGGGTTGGGCGGCCAGGAGTCTGGGGGCTGTTTTTAGATCCACTCTAGGATACTTAGGCCACACTGGTTTCCCTATGGTGGCTCACACAGACTAACAACACAGACACTATGTGACTGACCAAAGCAATCAAGTCTAAGGTGGAGATTATATTTTATGTTTCAAAGATAGAAAAATCAGGGAAGGTTAAAAGAATATGAAATATATCCCCTGGTGTTTGGAATCAAAGCTGGCAGACCAGCACTGATTTGAATGTTGATTTAAACAAACATACTTTGTGTCTAAATAAACCCTATTTTGGCATACATTCATCATCACTTAAGCTTATTTTATAAACATGCCTAGGAGCTATTTTTACAAAAATGATAATTTAAAGAATTTTAGGAGAAAATAAGCAAGATTAGATCATAATGGAGCCAACTTTTTAGAACAATATAAATCTTTAGTTGCTGAGAAGTAAAAAAACAACCAAGCATAGAGAGCGTGTTACAAGGGGACTAGCCAGGGACAGAAGCTTGCAAGGAAAGGAGACTCTCAAGCCCAAGGGCCCTTCCCCAGCAGGAAGGAACACAGTCTTCTTCACACTGCACATGATCTCTCAATCAGCTTCTCACAGTGAGTGGGAAATGTTGTTACCTTAAGTAATTTTCCTGGAGGAAAAGCATGAAAGCAAAGGTATCACAAATAAGATCCAGTCTGAGATAACCAAAGGTTATCTAGGGCTCAGCTAAAATAATTTTATAATTTATTCCTGAAAGATAAGGTAATGTGAGCGAGAATATTTACAATGCTAACCCAGGTTGACAAAAGAGGTCCACCATTCTCAGGATGCTACAGAAAGTGGGCTTCCCATAGCATGAATTTCGACAGCATAATCTTAAAAACACAAAATTTCCACATCACCTTTAGATGCATGTGTCATAAATCCCCCCCTGACTACAGTTAATGCAAAAGTAATTAGCTTTCCTTTATATGAATAGCCTTCCTTTCCTATAGACTATAAATACCGAACAAATTATTTACTCTGTAATTGTCTGCCATGATTTACAGTTAAATAAATAAATAAAAACAAAGCACTGCTTACCACTCTCAGCACTGGAAATATGTGAAAAATTACACTCGTCGCATCTAGTCAAATTCAGCCCAACACTGGCACCAAAGCCACATATATATTTTAGACATAAATCTCGATAAAAATCCATGTATTGCACTCAAGAGGCCAAAGCTATCAAACATTTACCATCTCTTAATACACAAGCAGCGCTAAACTGTACTGCTTAGGGACATCAGTCATCAGCATGTGCCAATACGGCCACTAAAATTCTAAGTGATGGAGACAATGCAGCCAAGGCTTTCACAGTATGTCACACAAGATTTGTGACATCTATTTAGGAGTGAGTAATGACACAGCTGCTTTTTGGTTATAAAATAGGGAAATATAGTACTTTAGTGCACGGGAATGCTGCTCTGGGTAGAAAAGTTTATTTTTGTCAGTAAGAATCAGGTTTCACGAGTAGCTCTGAAGCAGGAGTTCCACTCTGAGGCTGAAGACTGAGGCAGAGCAAGGAAGGAACCAGTAGAATGGTAAAGTATTTTCATGTTCAAGAGAAGAAAAGCTCCAAATTTTGTACTTTAAATTTTCCCTGGCCAGAAATAATTAGTAAAAATGAAACCAGCAATGAGCCATTATGACTCTAGTAAACTATAGTTTACGCGGTAATTTTAAAACAATTAACATGGAATACTTTTGTGTCAGTGCTGACAAAAACTAAATGGTATTAAAATTTAGTAAAAATAGTAAATATAGTAAAGATAGTAAAAATAGTAGTAAAAATACAGTAAAATACAGTAAAATAGTAAAAATAGTAAAGATAAAATTGGCAAAGAACACAAAACTGTGTTAAAAACAGATAAGTAAAATTTCATTCCCATTTTTATCTGTGCTTAAAATTTATTTCCTGAGCCTATTTTCTCTGCAATGGTTATTTTCCTTTCTTTAAGGGATGTAACTGGAGACAGGATATTTTGAGTGGAAGAGTTATTTCCAAACATGGGGTTTTAAAGAAAAGATGAATGAAAATGAATGTTTCTTTACCATTAGATTCACAACCATCAAACAATCACTCCACCCCAAACCTAATGTGATCTAAAAAGGGTCTTATAAATTTAAAGGTTAGAAAAATTCCTCTTACTTAATCCAGTTCATCAGCTCCACTGTATCTGGGTCATAGAATTCTCTCAACTCGGAGAGTTCATCCATCATTCCTGGCCAGAACTGAAATTGAAAACAAAACAAAACAAAACCAAAATCCACCCCCACACTGATACCTATCACTAAGGTTACATGAAAAAAGGACAAAGTGCACACTTGTGAGCTGAACAGACACGGCAGAGGGGTCCAGAACTGCTTCCCCTCTGCCACCAGCCTTCCAGCACATGTGGGCTGAGGCCTGAGAAAAGCTTCTCAAATTATCCTGAGTTGAAGCCAATTAAGACCAGAGGTGTTATCAACTTTACAAAATGTGCTTTTATCTTACATAAAAATGCTATTGCATGTGGTGCTAATAACCAGTAAAACATTACTTTGATGTGACAGGAATACCATCTACGAGAATGCTCTCAGTGTACTGGGAAAGTGTAATTAACTACTGCCATGCAATCTACCCTTAAAAGCAGACTGCATCTATAGGAGATAGCACCATTTTACAACTGCACAACATACTCTTAGATATAGAGTCTCATGAGTTCTCATAACTCATGTGCTAAGATGCAGAAGGTAGCATCACCACTGGAGTTTTTATTTTAAAAATGTGGAAACTGGCTCAAAGAAGGACCCAAATTGACCAGATCACAAGTGGCAGCACCACGACTTGCAATGTGGCTGTACAATCAGTCCCTTCTCATTGAATAATGTATTTTTGGCACTAGAAATCTCGGTCATATGGTTTGACATATAGTAATAGAATTATTGTTATAATGGGAGAGAATATTTGAAAGTATGACACTCCAGGAAAATCTAAGACATATACCGCTGGTGTCTCTTGGTCAACCTGAGTTATTTAAGGTTACTTATACATAAATGTAAAAATTACACTCTGAATCCAGTCTTTATCCAAGAGTCAGTCTGTTTAATCCATCAATGAATTATATCTTAACTGTTCTATCAAATGATGGGTGACTAACAAGACTTCATCATCCACATACATCTTAAGGTTAGCTGTGGAATTCATTTCCCATATTGGTGCAGAAGACAATGACTAGTGCCTATGTTTCATTAATGTTGAAAATGTAATACTTTTCTTTAAGAACTTCTTCTAAGAACCAAAGAAACACTTGATGTCTCTATGGATGTTTTAGTCCTACCGCTTTTCTTATCCTATCATTTCACGTCAGGTCATTTTTACTGCTCATTTACATCTTGTCCCTTGAGAGGGTAAATCAAGGAAATCATGAGGGATGGAGAATCAGGAGTCAGCACTTTTGCTTCTAGTTTTCAGTAGAAGTGTTGTAAAAATTACTGATTAAACAATCCCTTTGTAATACTGTAATTAAACATTTCCCTATTAATTTGGTAATACAAAATTTTTAATGAAATGCTAATTCTTTTAATGTATATGTGAATCCAATGACATTCTATACATTATACTTTTGAAGGTGCTGTTATTACTGCTAAGAATATTAAAATCTACTAAGAGCCTTGTGGAAAATTCCTTAAATAATGTAAAAGTACTGAACAAAATAAAGGCTGCTGGTAAATAATCAACAATAGTTTATACACAACTTCACCACCTAAATAAATTAATCAGGATGACAATAAATTTTACTTGACTTAAAAGTAGATACTAGAATGTGCTTTTCCCTTTTAATAAGATAATCCTAGGCCAAAGATTCAATTCAGTGCCATAAGCTCCTGCCTGACAAGTGTGAGGTTGTGAGTTCGTTCCCTGGTACCAAAAAAAAAAAAAAAAAAAAAAAAAAAAAAAAAAAAGATAATCCTAAAGATAGAGATAGCAAAATGATATTATTAACAAAGTCTGAAACCCTGATTAAAGTTGCTAGGTAAAACTCAGATCAGACTTTGAAATATATGAGTTCACATTATAGATAAAATCTAATAGTTGGGACAGATGGAAAATAGATTCAGTTTCAAGGTAACTTTGAATGTGCATAATATCTTCATACTCTGTGATCCCTTCATTTTATATTTCACAAATTTTAAGATGAAATAGCTGAAGTATTTTATATAGTAAAAACTGAGACTACAGTCTCCCTTAACTTCCAAGAGCAACTGAGACTACAGTCTCCCTTAACCCCCACACTAGAGATTGACCCCAAGGTCTTTGTGCTGAGCGGTATTCTCAGCCCTTTATTTTATTTTTAAAAGTTTTGACAAAGGCCCTTGCTAAGGGGGCTTGAATTTGCGATCCTTCTCCCTCACCCTCCCAGAGTGCAGGGGTAACAGACATGCACTGCTATGCTTGGGTTGGAGGATTCTTTGCAGGGAAAATTACAAGGATTTCCTGGGAATGATGGCTTTTCCAGAGCTTTTGTTCTCACTTGTTCCTTTATAACAGTGGACTGTTATAACACTCCTACTTCAAGGGAAACTTGGCAACTTGTGGGGACATCACTGGCTGTCACAACTAGAGGGAAGTGCTACTGCCATCAAATGGGTATGCTTCCAATCATCCACCTGCACTGTTGGGAACCATTGAAAACACCAACTTCTGGACTCTGCTCCACAGCCTCCCACTCAGCAGTTCTGAACTGAGACCCAAGTGCCTGCATCTCCCCAATGGCCTGATGCTGCTTGTCTGAGGACTGTGCTTTAATTCCCTCTACCGCATAGTTTACAACCTCTACAGCATCCTTCCTCAGTTTTCCCAAGAACAGGAGACCTAGATCCTCAAACAGCTTTTTAAAAAAATACATAGATTTTCATTATGCATCTGAGACAGAAAGGAGCTCAGTCTACATACATACAAATGATGGGAAAGACTGCCATAGTTTACACACATCTTACTGGGGAGACAAAGGATGATGAGCTACATTTTTTCTAGGAGGAGGGGATTTTAGCCTCAAATAAATGTATAATAGGAAAGTTACCTTATTCCTTATTAAACATATCCTGTTTAATATTTAACTGCTGCTTTCCAGATTAAGTTTTACTTATTTATATAAAAGCAAAATTCCCAGACACCAAAAGGTAGAAAACTATTTCTGTGTTTTCTAGCACTTGGGAGGTTCTGACATATAGGTATATAGTTATAACACAGTATATGTAACATGTGTAGGTATACACTATATATAGGTATATACTAGGTATGTAATTTTCTGAAATATTTGCAATATAGTGATTACTGACATTTTTAGGCCTAACATGTTTGGTTTACAAAAACTAACATGAAAACAGAAACACTGAAACCAAAAGTTGAACGTGCGAGAGAGAAAGTCCTCTCCAGATGTGGCCCCTATCTCTACATCCAATGTCTCCCCCCAAATCAGAGATTCTACATAGCAGATTTTGAAATCCAATGTTCTAATATTTTAAAAAAATTGAAGAAAAAGCACCCAAAATTCGCAAATGTGTATTTTGATTTTAAAGAGAAAGCAAAAATTCAACTGGATGAAGTAATTTGTGCTAGAGGCCTAAGTAATACAGCAAGGCCTGTAAATCTCGTGGGATGTTACAAAAGAACCACAATGGTTACCATCTCAGGGGATTCTCAGAGCTGAGGCATAGCCAGCGTTTCAGAAATCAGCCAGCAAAGAACATGAAAAACTCTACTACTCCCTATTGAAAGTGCAAAAAGAATTTTTAAAAATGTGTAATCTTAGTCTTGTATTTATTTAGATGTGTTTAGTTTTCTTATAAAGAAAAGCATCTAATGATATATGTAGATTAAAAATAAGATACATTTTAAAACGTTCTTTATAAATCAAGTAACAGCAGGAAATAATTTTCTTTCTTTATTTGCTCAAAAATAGGTCTGAAAACATTTTCAGAATTTACTGAACAGTTGCAAAGCTAATCAGAATGACTTAACGCCAGTGTCTTTTTGTTATCATGCTTTTTCATTTGCTAAAAACTACTTGAGAAAGTTTTCCTATCAATTCCAACTGCAGTAAAATGCTAAGGAAGTGTTTATAAACTGCATAAACCCATCTTGATTTCCAAAAACATACAAAATACGAGTCAAAGCAATTATTGTAATAAAAAGATTAATGACAAAAATAAGGAAAATCAGGCTTACCTTATAGCACAGATACAGCAGTATTAATATTGGAACTGAATATCGCATTATACATATCTATACAAGAAAGATACTATTTAGATTACAAGCACTTTGAACATTTTTGCCTTAGGTTTTTGCTTGGTAAATATATGCACTTTATAAAAAAACAACAAAAATATAATTTAATGGAGCATGAGCCTCCAGTATCAGAATAACTAAGTCAATGTCGGATTTTAATCATTTATATGGTATTTCTAACTTCCACCATATTGCCACCTAGTGAATATAGAGGGTTGAACAATTCAAAATTACATTTGTAGACTATTACACATTGTTATATACTTGTTAATAAGTATTCTTTGAAAAATACTTTGTAATAAGAACAGTTATAATGCTAGTTAGGGAGATTATTGGTGAACTTTATATCTCCTTATTTATGCATGTATGTGTGTGTTTTGTATTTCTAAATTCTGTACAAAGAACATATTCAATTTAGAGTGCAGGGAAAAGATGAATTTAAAAAAATAAAATCAAATTTAACAATAAAATTTTAAAATATTAATTCTTTGTGAAATTGTAATGTATCCATTATCTATTTCCAGTTTCAAGTATTAGAATCCATATTACATGATGGATACATGGGTAATTACTAAAGAAGGGAGAACTGGTATGAATAAAATACTTTAAAAAATCATTAAAAGTTAAATGGAAAAAGGGACAGCACTGACCCTCTTTGGGTTATAAAGATGGACCAACTTCAGAAGTAACTCCCATATTTCACGGCTGCACAGACCAAATGATGCAAACACACACATGTGTGATGTCCAGAGGTACTTCATCCTGCAAAGACAGAAAGGGTGGAAGGCAGCAGCTCCTAGTGGTATACATGCCTCAAGTCTGAGACAGCTGTAAAATAGCTTTAAAGTCTGTGACAGTTTCTCTGAACTGTGCAGAAATCAGCTGCCAAAGGGTTAGTCATTAATTCCACTGCCTTTTGGGAACTATCACATAAGTTAAAAGAATGTTTGCAACTGGGAAAAAACTGAGTAGGAATGATATTTTGTACTGTGACAAGGACATTTTTATGGGATCCATAACCATTAATGAAGATGATCGTCAGTTTCTAAATTTTACTACTAATATTAAAAGTAAAGAGTGGTTAAAAAAAAAAAAAAAAGAGAAAGAAATCAGAGAAGACAAAAGTACCTCATTGTACTCAGTGCCAAGAATCCAAACAGAATGGTGTGTATTAAGTTGTAAGCAGTTTCTGGTTTCAGATCAACTGTGCATTTTCCCATTTTACCCATGGATTGTTGAATTGTAGAGTCACTGAATAAAGTGGCAAACACATACAAATCTTAAATTGAACAAATAATTTGTATTTAGTTAAATCTTATTTCCCCTAAATAAATGAATTAGCATTGATCAATTCTGAAGTTGTTTGAGGCTAAAATCATCATAATATAAATGCAGAGGTAAATATAATAACTAAAATCTCACAGATTTTAATTTAGCAAAACTTTAAATTGATTCAATTGTTTGTCTTTTTCGTTTTTCGTTTTTTTTTTTTATCGGTACCAGGGATCGAACTCACGACTGCCTGCTTGCAAGGTAGGCGCTTATGCCGCTGAGCTAAATCCCCAGCCCTGATTCAATTGTTTAAGTTAAAAGAAAATAGCAGAAAAATTCCATTTGGAAACATTGAAATTGGAGACCTTTAAAGATGCTTTATCAGTTATTTGTTTTATGAGTATTTTGTAAACTTTTATAAATAAGTAAAAAAAATATCCATAAACTTGGAATTCAATTCTTTTATGCAAATGATCACATTTTTAACCTACCAAAGTCTCCTTATATCTGTCTAATACAGCGTGTCTATCAAACATAGTTACATTAAGATCATTAGAACAAAATTAACCTTAATGCCTCAACCTCATTTAATATGTAATATGTGTTTATTTTTTGTTCCAGTAACTGTTTTTTTTTTTTTTTCAGGTGGTTTCTTTGAAAGAATCTAAAGCTTGTGCATTGCATTTCTTGATGTATCTCTTCAAACATCTTTGGGTTTATAAAAGTTATCCTACCCTGCCCTGCTTTTTCACAGGCCATTTATTTGGTGACGAAAATGTACTATTTGTACTGTAACTCTTCACTTTCCAGATCTGGCCGATTGTCTTCTTATGATGATGTTTACCTTATTTCTTTATTCTCACATTTCTTGTAATAAATCTAGAGATTATCATAATTATTTGTCAGGGGACAAGAACACTTCATAGAGACACAACTTATTCTATATTGCATTACACTGTGAAGCGTATCCTGTCTCCTGTGTCCACTGTGGGGAGGTTAAGACTGCAGTGAATTCTAGTTTGCAGTTTGTAGTTACGAAGGAAACAGTAAGGGTTGCTAGTTTAAGACAAAAACAACACTTTCATAAAGGTCTTACGAACTCTTCATACAAATGCAAAACAGCTGGGTTTGTATGATGCATCTCTGCATAATTGGAAGACTTTTATTTCCTAGAAATCATTATTTCACCATCACAGATTTGTAGGATTATTAAAATTTACTCTAAGGGAACTTTCACCATTGGTAATAATTTTAATGTAAAGGTTAAAAATTAGAACACAGACATTGGCTTCTATGTTGATACCATAAGGTTCTTCCAGAAAAGAAAAATATACCCCCTTTTTTTTTTCTTTGAAACTGAGAGCCACCACATATGGCAGGAAAATTTGCTCTTATCTTCCCTTGATACCTAAGGGAATTCTGTGATGCCTTTACCCAGCCAAGCTGAACAACTCTTACTAATCCTATAGTCAGAGAACACTGTACCCCTTTCAGTTGTATCCTGCGCATGAATGTAGATATGCTTGTGTGAATATAATACGGTTGTATCTCAATTCATGAGCACTCTTGTTTGCAAACAATTTGGTTGGCAAATAGAAGCCTTTGGCAAAATTTTTTCTTGGCTGAAAACTCTGCATTGAGTGACCATGGTCACATTTGCCACACTGACACAAATGTGGTCATCTTTTCCAAAATCATCGAACAAATTAAGTTCACAGATTGAGGCACTATAGCAGTATAACCCTTCCTAGTACTAATACAGGGAGATACTTTACGTACTTGGTATTAAAACAGATATACTTCACATTATTTAAAAGTAAATTTATATTAAGATATTATCACCTTTTAATTACTTTCATGTAGTGCTCTTCTTCTAATATTGATCTAAAATCCCAAGGTGGCAGATGTTCTAAAATCTTTATCTCTGATCATACACCAAATCAAGGAGGCTCAGAGATTCACACTGAACACAGGAGACATTTTCACAAAGACACCACAGGACAACTACTTTGGATGCAGTCTGGAGCCCTGTCAACACTTGTTGTGTCTGGAATAATATTAAATTACAGTGTCCAGATAATTACTCTGTTCATGTAGATAATTTTCACACAGTTAAATTTTATATTGAGTAAGTATAAAAAGAACACTTCTGAAAGATACTAAAATAGTTTATAGCCAACGAAGTATTTTGATGGTTCAACGTGGCTTCATTCCTAATAATCATAAAATACCTCATCTGATTGGACTCATTTTCACAACAGCTCTCTTGCGGCTGTGAATCACAGTTCACCACCACCCTAACTGGCCAGGTCCCTACATAGAAAAAGAGCTTCTTTGGGAGTTTAATTCATTTCTCACCAATGACAGTAGTTTTGACTTCTTATACTTGTCTTTCCAGTCAACAGGGATCACAAATGCAAAAACCACCCTAAGCTTAATAGGTAGATATTCTGCAGGTTTAAAAAAAAGTCTTTATATTCCCTGATTATTTTTCACTAGACTAGTTAAACATGTTAAGCTTTAAAAAACTGACACATTACTTAAGATTTTTAGTAGACACTAATAATTATGGTCCATTCCAACTTCGTTAGTTCTGAAACAAGATGTAAAGAAGCAAATGAATAATTATTAACTCTTTGTATTTCATAAGAAATACTGTAAAAATCATTTGGAAGAAATAGGTAGACAAGAGTAGAAAAATGCCAAAAACTAATAATGGAGACAAGCTACAGAACCACGAGTCTAAAATAATAAACTCATAATGATAGGAACATTTATAGAATATTCTAGGTATCAGACATTATTTTAAGTACTTTATGTTGTTTTAATTGATTTATTCCTCACAGAACCATGTAGGGAATGTACTCATCATATTCTCATTCTATAGATGAGGAAACAAGTACTGAGAAGTTGCATAACTAGCTCAAAGATCACCTTGCTCCCAGTGTGAAAGCCGAGACTCAAACCCAGACTGGTTAGAACTATGGCCACCACTCCTTGGGATCTTGTCATTACAGAGTAGAGTTCTCTATCCTACATATGTTTCCCTCTTTAGGATGCATAGCATCACTCTGTTTTGAGTCTGATATTTTATTTTAACTTAGTAATATTTTGCAACACCTAGGACAATTTCATGAAGGCAGACCATTAAACATGCTGCAATGCTACATACCTGAGATTATGAAAGGCAACGACCAATGCTGCGATCACTGTGATGGACAGCACAAATATGTAAGCATAAAAGAGCAGAGTATCTGAAAGCCGTGCAAAAGTATTAAAAGGCAGGAGGCCAAAAGCTTCTTCACACAGATATAGATTTGCATCAAAATCCCTGAGGAACAAATGGAAAGAAAAGTGTTAAATTAAATACAAGGCAAGGAAATAACACTATTGTTTTCCTTAAAATAAGTCTTCAATTAATTGTTGAGGGGATAATACAAACTTCAGCTTTAAAATTCTTGTTGCGTTAGTATTTAACACAAATACATGATTCTAATTTAATCGTACCTTGTTGCTCCAAACCCAAATTTTGCCTTTAGGAATTTAAATATGTGTTCGTCTGACTTCAGGTTAAGAATTTTCTATCAAGGAGAGAAAAGACAAAAATTTCTATTAGTGTCTTAGGTATGGATTCCCAACAATTTCCCAATGGATATGCATTCCCAGTGTCTAGCTTCACAGGGCGTATGCATAGAACACTAGTAAAAGTTCACAATATTTCTCAGAACTGATTCTAAGCCAGAGCTTTTAAACTTCTTCCTCTCCTACACCTCCCTTTCATAAGGATAATCTTTTCCTCAAACATTTTATGCATAAGTTCAATATAGAAAATAGATAAAACATAGCTGGTTTTGGTTTCAGGGAGAGGGAAAAGGCTGAAGCACAGTGCCTAGAATTTTTATCAAAAAATGAACGGAGTCAGGTATTGCGGTACACACCTGCAATCTTGGCACTCTGGCAGGTTGATGCAGGAGCACCCTATGTCTGAAACCAGCCCAGGCAACTTAGTAACTAAACACAACCCCAACTCAAAAAAGGAAGGAGTGTCTGAGGATGAAGCTCTGTGCTAAGGACTGGTTTAGTGCTCAGTACCACTACCGTAGTCACCACAGTTATGAAGACGATAACAACAAACAATGTGATAACCTGAAACGACAACGTCTACAACAACAACAAACAATATGACCTGAAACTTCAAGTAGAAATGCAGCCCATTGGGCTTTAGGGACTTGGATCTATAGATAGAACTGAAATAAGACTCATTCATTCAAAGACATTAATCCTCAAGGGTTAACAGACAAATGCCAGTTTTAATCATTAGCAACTGAAATTTTAACTTTTAATTTTAGTTTTACTTTATAATTTACAAAATCAATATGGTATAAATGGTGAAAAATTAATATCAAAAGAAAAATGACAGAAAAAAGAGGAAACCAGAATTGAGGTTAGTACACAACTTACATACATTAGAGCAGAGCCACAAATCTAGTCTTAGGCATTATAGCAGTAAATGGGAAGAGGAAGATAAAAACATTTATTTTACTCACAGATTAAAGGTTACAGATTAAAACTAACCAGTTGCTTGGAAGAGATCCTAATAGTCCTAGAAATAAGACTCAGAAGAAATTTTTCCATGGGTACAGTAAAAATAGCAAAGTGGTTTCAAGCTTATTTTTTCTTTTTTTCTTTTTTTTTTTATTTAAGAGGAAAAAGAAAAAAACACAAAACAAACCAAAGCGGTGTAAGGGTACACGTATTACAGAACTACAAAAAAACAAAACAAAACAAAAAAAACCAAAACAAACAAAAAAACATAACAGTAAGAAATCACCTGTTAGTATATTACATATTATCATCTTGAAGCTTATTTTTTCTAATTCCTCTCATTGTAGGGTACAAACCAATAGATGTTATTCCTTGGGGTGTCAAAAAGGTAGAGGTCCAGGCACACACTTAGTCTATGAACAGGTCACTCAACATTTAAAGTGACCAGGAGTGAACTGCATACATTTCAACCAACCTTCCAGAAAAGCTGAAATCTCTCAGACACACACACACACACACACACACACACACACACAGAGAGAGAGAGAGAGAGAGAGAGAGAGAGAGAGAGAGATAGAGAGAGAGACAGAGAGACAGAGAGACAGAGAGAGACAGAGAGAGAGAGACAGAGACAGAGAGAGATAAAGCTAGAGGGCAAAATTCTTGGCTGTTCTAGTCCTTTATATAAAATGGTATAGTATTTGCATATAATCTTATGCTTTAGGTCATGTCTAGATTACTTATAACACCTTTTCAATATAAATGCTGTGTAAATGGTCATTAGACTATATTGTTTGGGGAACAGTAATAAGAAAACAAGTCTGTGCATGTCAGTATGGACACAAGCTTTCCCCTAACATTTTTATCTGTGGTTGGTTGAATGCTAGAATGAGGAGCCTACACATGGGAATTCATGGATATGGAGGGCTGTCTGCACTGAACTGTACACAGTTTAAAGCTGCAGTGACAAGGACATGGAGTGAGGTACTTTTGTGACTGGCTGAGTGAAGAATCTTTTTTTCTTCAACAGTCCAGGGAACTATCACTCTTACGGGAAGGGCAGAACTGTTTTACAGGTGGCTTCTATGCTGAGACCAGCATTCTACGAGGGGCAAAATTATCTGCTGAAATCATTGTAGTTTTGCTGTTGCATAAAAACAAATGAAGAATCAAGGTCCTGAAATAAAGTTTTCAGCTAAAAAAAAAAAGTAAGAAAAGATATTGCAGAAATTAAGCATCTCTCAGGGCATTTTGAAAAACAAAACAAAACAAAAAAAACAACTCAGCAAAGCTCCTGAACATATAATAAGTACAGGCCTATGTTATTAAATGAGGTTATTCTGTTTTGCAGGGTGATTAGTTTTGAGTCAATTAAATTTTAGGGAACATCTAGCAACAAGAGGCTCTTTTTTCTTAGATAAATTAGATAGATGTGTTTATTACTAACAACCATAGTGTAGAAAATTATCTAAACTTAGAGAAATATTTATTTAATGTTTTTATGGTTGAGTTTTACAAATTTTATTAACTTGGTGAATTTAAGATAGAACATTCTAAAAAAGAATAAATATAAATGAATAATTAAAACCAACAAAATCATCCTATTCTCAGATAAAGCTAAAACTGAGCCTATTCAATATAAAACATTCAGGGGCTGGGGATTTAGCTCAGTGGCGTAAGTGCCTGCTTGCAAGCACACAGTCGTGAGTCAGATCCCTGGTACAAAAAAAAAAAAAAAAAAAAAGACCAAAATGAAACATTTAGTGTGCTGATACACTTTATCAAGCAAAGATTTACTTATTTGAAATAGAAAGTTATCTCCAATGCCATCAGTTCATCTAAAAAATATATTAAATGCCATTTATTAACTTACCTTAATAATATTGTTGAGAAAAAGTGTTAAACAGAAAACTATAAATAAATGTAACAAAAGTTTCCTGATCCTGTTAAGGAAGTTTCCAGTTTTCAGGTTTTTCTAGAAATTAAAAGAGTAGTTTAATATTAATTAATATTAATATTAATTAAAGGTTTCCAAACACTGGTTTATGCAACATATAGTAAAAACATATGTGGGAAATGTAAGCTACAACTTCATAAAGTTAAACTGTCATACAGTCTTTAATTTTCTATTAGTTAATGAATCCTTTAATGATGAACTTCATAAGGTAAATAAATGTGCCTTATTCTTTTTTCTCTCTTTTTTCCATAACAGAACATTGGGGTCTGCCATTTGGGAAGCATTTGGGATATGCTGACTGGATAAATCATTACATCATTTATTCATTAGTTCATATGTCACAAAAATAGGCATAACCCAAATAAATGAGACCTATCAGTATAAAAAAAGTAAACTGTGCTCTTTTACATATAATCCTAATTATTGCTAAATATAATAATACCTTGAATTCAAATATGAGTGATGTTTATTTATCATTAAGGTTAAAAGGATGAATGATTGTTCTTAATAACAAATAAAAAAAACCTTTAAAGAGAATCTTCCTGGGGGCTGGGGATTTAGCTCAGCGGCATAAGGGCCTGCCTTGCAAGCACGCAGTCGTGAGTTTGATCCCTGGTACCAATAAAAAAAAAAAAAAAGAACGTTCCTTACAGTTTGTCCACAGCAGTTCTCAGTCAAAAGACTAATGGGAAAATTTATTCTCACTTCCCAAAGGTGAAAACAAAATGGCCTTTTGGGATAGAAGTGTTTATGCACATGAGAAAGGAAACTGGATTTGTTACAATTTTAAGGAAAAATAAATTGGTTCTCAAATCTCATGCAAATTAAAAAAAATTAATTATATAGTAAAGCCAAAAGACGAGGTCAACATTTTTCTTCTCGTTTTGAACTGGTGCTGGGGATGGAACCTGGAGTTTTGCACACCAGGCTAGAATTCTTTACAAAGCTACACCTGAGACCCAGATCGAAGATTTCAAACATGGTATTATGACACCTTAAGGAAATATCTCATTCTAAAAGGTATTTATTTAGATTCTTAAAATACTCAAAACAGTTAATTTATTTAAAAAGCAATAGAAGTGTACAGAGCAGCATCACTACAATAAACCAGAAGGAGCAGATCAACTTGAACTACTATTGTAACAGCAAACTACTACTGTAACAGCAAACCAAAAGGACAATGTGTTTGGGGCAGATTTATTTAAGTTGATGGGCACTGATCGGGATCATTCCCAGAATATCAGGCCCTGATCTCTGATGATCTAGGGTTTTTATGGGATAAGCAAACAAGAAGTACAAAGGCAGAATGGCTTATCAGTTGGGGACTGGTTTATACAACATGCATAACAGTGACCATTGGTCTCTAAGGGACAAAAGCAACTGGAACTGGAACATTATGTGGGCAACTAAGAATGTGAAATATATGGGCAGGGGGTGGTGGTGGTGGTAGATTTTCTGTTACATTGTGATGAACACATTGTACAAGCAGCAAGGTCTTCTCAGTCACACACAAATTTTTAAATTTTTGTTCTTTATTTCAACATTAAGTCAATGGAACCCAACTAAACACCTTTGGTTAATCCCCGAATAGAATTAATTTTGTAACCAACTGCTGAAACAATGACAGAGCACATAGTGGTGTCAGAAAGGCTGAAACTAAAACACTACTACAGGCACACCAAAAAGAAAAAAGTAAATAATGCCATTTAAATGGGTCATAAAATTTCCTTTGGATATTATATTAGAATCAGGTCTAGTAAACTACAATTTTTAAAAAAGTTTACTTTGACTAAGGTAAAAGAAAAAAAAGACAGGAGGATTGTAAGTTTGAGCCCAGCTCAGGCAACTGAGGAATTTAGCAAGACCTTGTCTCAAAAAACCAAAACCAAAACCAAAAGAAGACTGACAGTGGAGCTTAGCATGAAGGCCCTAGGTTCAGTCCTCAGTAACATGACACCTAGATACCTACACACACACATGCGCGCGCACACACACACACACACACACACACACACACACAGGGTCTTACCTGAAGTTTTCTTACAATTATTACTGAAAGGTTGAAGCTGATAATCAATGATCCAAGAATCATGGAATTGAAAAACTGAAGAATGCAGACCAGGAGCAAGCCTGAGATCTGTATACCATACAGCCATGTTGCCTGCAGCAGCCAAAGATTAGACACTTAAGCAGGTTTTATCAGGAAACCATTGCATGGGGACATCCCAGGTTGGGAAGAATGCAGAAAACACACCTAGGTTAAGGAAAACAGTCTAAAACAGGAAACTTAATCATATTCATTGCATTTATTGCCTTCAGCCAACAATGAAAATCACGTTCTATTATTTCCTAATTTTCTAGACCATATACTTTAGGATTGTATTTTGTCTACTTTTTGCTTGTCTCTGTGCGTCCCTAATTCCAGGATAGACTGAATATTCCTCCTGCAGCCACATTTTCTACCCTTACTTCTTTGGTTCACAGCAGGTTCAGTACAGTGGCTAAGAACTTGGGGCCTGGGGTCAACAGCACTTGTAATAGAGTCCTAATTCTGGTGATCTTAATGTGCCAGAAATGGTCAGCATCTGACAGCAGGTCTAAAGTTGTGCTAAAATGCCAGTACACACAGTGATGTATGCACACCCATGCTTTTAGCAGCACAATTCATAACAGCTAAATCTTAGAAGCATGCTATATGTCCATCAACAGATGAATGGATAAAAAAATGTGTTATTTATACACAGTGGTGTACGAATCTGCCATAAAGAAGGATAAATTTGACTCACTGGTAGGTAAATGGATGCACTTTGAAAGTATAATATTAAGTGAAGTAAATCAGACATGCAAGCTTAAAGATTGCATGGCTTTTCTTATATGAGAAACTCAATATATAAGGTGCAAAAAGAAAGAGGGACAACAGGAGAGGAAGAGAAGTTAATAGTCCAATGTGGACAATGTATCTAAAAGTGTATGTTTATTTAGCATAACTATCTTATGTGTCTTATAAGTTTTTTGGCCTGTTAGTCTAGCTTTGAATCTGCATGTATGATAATTAACTTTATAAGCACTTAGAAATAAACTAATCTGATGTTAGTAAAAAAAAAAAAGGAGGGAGAAGAATGGGAAATAAAAGAATTGAGATGTGTTATGTACAGGTACCAGTCACCCACAACGATTGCAAACATTATGTACGACAAACATACACTTAATTAGCCCAATACATATAACCACTCAGTGAGATCATTCTTGGCATAATAAAACACTGTTGACAACAAAATGAGCAAAACATATCCAATTTGAGCATAAAAACATGCCACAAGGGGAAAAAAACCAATCCCAAATAAAGATGATAATTTTTCAGTTAGTTTTCCTTTTCTCTCAAGTTAGACGATTCTAAACTCCTACTGGCACATGAAAAATGCCAATTTTACTCAGCAGCCAACCTGACTTCTCTAAGTATGCTGCTATTAACAGCAACTTGGATTAAAGGATGTGGATAAATTTTAGAATTATAGATACTGTAATGTAATTTGTTCTAGGAGATTTATGAAATTCAGAAAAACAAAAACAATAAATAGAAAGAGAGGTTCAAGAGTCAAAACCCAACACCATTACCTATAAAATAATATTGATTTCATAGCAGCCCTATAATAGTTCACAAATATAGCATTTTATACACTTCATATTATTTACCGTAAGTTTCTTACATCAACAACTATTCTGCAAAAAATTACATTTTAAGCGACTATATAATATTCTACCATATACCACAACTTGTCTACCACTGAATCCCTAGTGTTGCTACTTTGTACTACAAATTAAGGTTATATTCATGAGAGAGGAGCTAGAGAACTGCTTCAGAAAGTGGCAAAAATGATGGGATCAGTGTGTTTGGATTAAGTGGGAGTATTCTGAGGGGTAGTAATGATAATGTGTTTTTTACTGCAATTTTAAAAGATTTAATATTTGCAAAAACAAATTATTATGAACAACCCTTTAAAATAATCCTCAGGTCATATTTAACTAGTTTTATTTACTGATGTTTCCTTAGGGCCTAAAAGAATTCTCACTTAGCACAGGGTCACTCACTTAATATTAAAGAATGAATTTTTTTATTTTGAAGAGAATAAAACCAAATGAAATAAAACAGAATAGAGTCAATCACAACAAAACAATGAACATGGTATATGACTTCAAAACAAGATAAAAGGAACTTAATAATGTTACCATAATGCCTCTCATTATCTTCAAAATACCTGTCCATGCCATCAGGCATAATAAAATAAAATAATACAGAATAAAACCAAAATAATGGAAGCAGTGCAAGACTTCAAAATAAGATAATAGTAAAACAACAGTGGCTACCATAATGCCTCTTGTTATCTTCAAAGTAGTTTGCCTATACCATCAGACATAATACAATCAAGCAAAGCAAAATACAATAAAATCAATAAAAAAAGCAATGAATGCAATACAGGGGTTCAAAACAAGACAACAGGAAATCAATAATGGCTACCATAATATATTTTTGTTATCTTTGAAATAGCTGTCCATGACATAAAATATCTAATAAAATTAGATAAACTGAATCAGAATAAAGCCAGAGTAAACAACGATAATACAGATTTCAAATCATGATAACAGATTAACGATGGCCACTGCCTTCCCTCTTTAGACATTTTCTCCCCTTTCACTTTCACAATATGTATTGTGCATTTTGGATTCCACTAACTCCTTTTGTTTTTTATACTAGGGAGACACATTACTCTGGACCATTTCATCCATGAGCATGATCTCAAGTTGTATCCTTCTAGAAGAGCCTCAAGGTTATCTTTTTTTTGTAGCTGGGTAGCTTCCCTTGTATAAAAATGCCGTGTCTTTCTTGTCCACTCTGCAGCTGATGGGTAAGCTACCCCCACTTCTTTCTGGTTCCCTGTCACATAGAGCATTGTTCTCTCTCTTTGGACTTTCAGTCTATGAACCCCCTTTTGAGTTAAATGTGTTTTTGTATAAAGCATGTTGATGGATCCTTTCTTCTGATCCACTCTGCCTGTGCTTCTTTTTACTGGTGAATTGAGGCCATCCACATTAATGGTTATGGCCCACATGTACTGCCTTGTCTCTGTCATGCTTTTTTCCTGCTCCTGGCTGTCAACTTTTCCTTCATTCAATTGTTTGCCCTGTTTGGTGATCCCCACTGCCACTGTTCCTGGAACTGTGGTCTTTTTTATCTCTCTAGAAAGTCCTTTAGTATTCTTTGTAGGGTTGGTTTGGTGGTTGTGAATTCTTTCAGCTGTTCTTTGTCATGGAAGTATCCTGTTTCTCCATTAATTGTGAAAATTTTGCAGGATATTATCAGTCTGGTTTGGAAGTTGTTTTCTTTCAGGACTTGAAATACTTCACTCCAACGTCCTCTTGACTTGATGGTTTGTGTCGAGAAGTCTGTTGTGATTCTGATAGGTTTTCCTTTATAGGTAATCTGTTTCTTTTCTCTAACAGCTTTTAATACTCTGTTCTTGTGTTGAAATTCTGGTTTCTTGATTATTACATGTCTGGATATATTTTGGTCATGTCTAGCTGGAGTGCAATATGCCTCACCTAACTGAATGTGACTTCCTTTTCCCATGCTTGGGAAGTTTTCTGATATTTCTGTAAATAGACTTCTAGTGTCATTTGTTTGACCTCTGGGTTTTTAACTCATACTTATTATTTGTAAGTTAGGTTTCTTTGGGTTGCCTTGCAGCTATTGAATTGTTACTTCCTGGTTCCTTGTTATTTTTAGGAGAGTTTTTCTTTTGCAATTACAAGCTATGAGTCTGCCTTCAAGGTCTGAAACTCTATCTTCAGTTTCTTTCAAGTGCTTTTGCCAGCTTTCAATGGAGTTTTTAATTTCCTGGATATCCCTTTGAACCTGTTGCATGTATTCTAAACCTTTTTTATACTGCTTATTTGAGGTTTCCTCATTTTCCTATGCTCTTCTATTTTTTTTAATCTATGTCTTCTTTAGAGATGCTTAACAATTCTTTTATTATGTTTTTCATTTCTTCTTTTACCTAAGATAGTATTTCTGTTCTAATTTCTTTCACAGGCTCACAAAGTTGTTTCTTTACTTCAGTTGCCATCTCTTTAGAAACTTCAGGTGTGTGACTCCGGTCTCTTCCACGTTTACATCTTCTGGACCTGCCCTCTTTGGGCTGGAGACCACAGACTGCTTTTTGATTCTTTGTCTTGAGATATTCCTGGGTTCCTCCGGACAAGTGGGTAGTGGGGTCCCAGGCACTTTCCACACTGACTACAATTTCTCTGAAGCAAGACTGTTTGGTTCTTCCAGCCAGTGCTGGCTGTATCTGATGGTGGCCACTGGGTGAACTGGTGCAGGGCCGTCAGCTGCTTTTCCCACCTGTACTGGCTCCCTGATGGCTGGTGGTGTGTGCATGGGGATAAGGCTCAGTCCAAGCAACTTCCACTAGTCTGCACCCAGCTAGGAGCTGCAGAGGAATCTGGCAGTAGTTCTGGTTCTGGGCTTATCTGGCCAGACTTCAAAATAGCTCCTGGCCAATTGCTCTTTCCAGCCAGAGGACTGAGTTCGGCACTCACTACCACCACCAAGTTCAGTCCTCTGTATCTGCCAATCCCCTCTACTGTCACGTTTATTTGCAGAGGCCTCTAAGGTCGCCAGCCATCACCCTTACAGTGACCGTGCATTCTCAGGTTCCAACAGCTCCTCTAGCACAGTGGGTCTGACTCCAGGTGAAGGCGCAGCAAGCTACTGCCCACTTCATTTAAATTATTCTTACTTTCTGTGGGCTTCAATTCTCACCTTAGATTCTTCTTGAGTGCAGGGGATCCACTTCCTTCTTTTTGTCTTCCCTACAATGTTATATCCCAGTGTCTGGACTGTGTATCTCAGAAAGGCTGTTTACTGTTCCACTATTTCCTTTTCATGGCACAAATGCATTTCTTTAGGATACTACTATAGTTAGAGAAATGAAAGTTCTTCCATTTAACATGTATAATTCATGATTTTTTGATGTATTCACAGAACTGTGCAGCTATCACCATACTCTAATTTTAAGAAAGTTTCATTATTTCAAAAGAAGTCCTATACCCACGAGCCATCACTCCCTACTACCCTTCTCTGCCCCTCAACCCTGGAAACCA